GAATCTGGATTCTGAAGAGGGCTCCCTGTTTTAGGATTGCAGGTACTGGCTTCTCTAGCTAACCTTTCCTGACATATATCTGTGACTAAGAGCTTCGTGTATTTAAAAATATTCTTGGTAGGCAAAACAGTTTTTAAAATTTCATATTATTAAATTAAAGATTGCATGAAATAAATATTAAATTTAAATAAGTATTAAATTTATTTAATATTAAACTATAACAAATTACCATCCATAATATGTTCATGTGTTAAGCAGGAGTCAGTTCTTTCTAGATGCAAGTCCTTTAGACTAACTATGAGATTACTTGCTACAGATGGGAAATTGTCAGACTTGGTAGTAAAAGAGCATAAAGAGAAATTGTTCCTGCATTGTATGGCCACAGAAATACAGTATTATTCTTATGGTGCCTGTTCTTACAATGCTGATGCAAGTTGGAAAACATTGTTTCAAGTGAAATCACATCTCATGATTCATTTGTGAATTGTCAGCCTAGTTTTGATTAATAGTTCAAATGACATTACCACTCCCATTAGATTCTGTTTTTACTGAATTGGGAATATGTCATTATATTTTCTGTGTCCATCTTTGTCTCTTTTTGTCTTTATGGATTTTCCCATTTCTAGACCCCTGGTTTTAATGAGAAGAAAATCTCTATTTAGAAAATCATTTAAATGTTGTTCAAATTTAATTTTTTATTTAAAATTTTAATTTTTAATTAAAATTAAATGAGTTTTTTTTTTTTGGTTTTTCAAGCCTGGGTTTCTCTGTGGCTTTGGAGGTTGTCCTGGCACTTGCTCTGTAGACCAGGCTGGTCTCGAACTCACAGAGATCCGCTGACCCCTGCCTCCTGAGTACTGGGATTAAAGGCGTGTGCTACCACTGCCCGGCTAAATGAATTTTTTTTTAAGAGATGAAATCTGAGTAGCTGGGAGGCTAAGGGAATGGATGTAGTTGGTATATAAACATACAAAGTTTTGTGCTCTGAGAAGCAGTCAAAGAAAAATAAAAAACCAAGGCTTTACAATGGTTGATAGTGAGGCTGATATATTCAGATTATGGAAGCTATCAAACTCATGAGCACTCTGATAGCTAAAGATCACTTTGGGAAACATAGCGGTGAAGTGTTTTAGTTTTTCCTTGTTGAGAGACAAGGGCAATGCATAGAATTGGCAAGAAAGTCAGTAGTGCCCTTTAAGAAAATACAAATGTTGCTTGTCTCTTCTTTCCTCCTACAGTTGCAAAGCCCAGAAGACAGAAGTGGACAGAGGAAGAAGAAATGGTTTCCAGTAGTTTTCTCAGTTTTTGTAGTCTAGAAAATAGGTTTTTGTTCTACATTTCATTATACAAAGATGTCACCAACAGACATCTGATTACATAAGGTTCTTTATAGATATATAGGACATTTGTTCATGTTAAAAATAAAAGTTTGACTTGCATTAACTACCATGGTTTTATATTAATGTTTTCTTTTTTATCTTTTTTGTTTTGTCGCATCTTGAAAAAGAAAAGCACCTAAAGTACCAGGATAGTAAATAATACTAATGGGTAGCTGTGAACCAGCAACAATAGCTGGAAATTTGCTAGAAATGCATATTCTCAGACTCTACTCCAGACTTACTGAATCTGAGATCCTTAAGGCAGACCTTCAGTTAGGGAGGTACAAGCCTTTAATGCCAGCACTGGGCAGGCAGAGGCAGGCAGATCTGTGTGAGTTCCAGTCCAGCCTGATCTACAGAGACAGTTCCTAGACAGCCTCCAAAGCAATACAGAGAAACTCAGTCTCAAAAAAAAAAAAAAAAAAAAAAAAATTCCCGATTTCTCTAAAAGCTCTGAGCACTTGAACTGCAGGGTACCACTGGTTTGCTGATATAGGGGGAAAAGCTATAGAACCAGCCTTCCTTAACTCACTAGGTGCTAAGCTTGTGATCTGAATGTCAGCCAAGGGTCCAGATGTTGAAGGTCTTGACCTTTGTTTTGTTGCCCTCTTTGGGAGGTGATGGGACCTTTATTAAGTGGAGCATTTTTTTGGAAAGATATTAGTGCTTTGGGGATATGCCCTTGAAGGCGATAGCAGGACCCTGGCTGCTTATTCTTTTGCTCCCTTGCTGCCATATGACATGCAGTTCAATCTACCACTTCTTCCTTTGCTGGTAGAATGGCTTGTCGCCAGCAAACCCAGCGCTACTGAAAGGCTGTGCTCATTTCCCACACAAGCATAATGAAGTCATGACCTGGGTAGCTTCACCACAATGGAAGTTTGTCCACTCATGGTTCTCACAGTTGTAAATCTGCAATGAACTTGTTAGCAGAGTCATTCCTTCTGGAAATGCTGATGAAGAAACCTGTCCTTTCCTCTCTGCTGGCTCCTGGAGTTTGACACCAATTTTTGGCAACCGTTGAGTTGCAAAGGTATAAATCAAATATTTTTCTCTATCCACATGTCCCCCCCTTTGGATCTCTGTCTCTGGGTCTGTTCTTTATCAGGTTGCCAGGCAGTGAATTAAGGGTCCACCTTTACCCACTAGTACTTCATCTTAACATTATATATGTAAATGTTCTTAGGTCACATCCATGGATTCTATGAGTTGCCCCTGCAGCATATCTCTGTGAAGGACATCATTGAACTCATTAAGGTGTGATGAAGAGCCCAACAGAAGATAACTACCTGCAGTTTATAGCCAATTGAAAGTCTTAATTACAATCAGCTGGGACTAAGCGCAGTTATATGGGACCCAAGTATAGCCCCAAGCATTTAGAGAAAGACGTTTTTAAAGACAAAAGCCACATCCTGGTATCTCATTTTGCAGCTCGGGTCAGGGGAACATTGCAAAAGCAAGTAGTTCAACAGAACTTGAGACAAGCAGTTATCTGGAGAGGGTTCTGTACAAGCAAGCAGTTTAACAGAAGCTAAGATAAGCAGTCAGCTGGAGGGGGAGGTTCTGTACAAGCAGGCACTTGAACAGAAACTAAGTTATCTGGGGTGTCTTGGTCTTGGTTTTCTTGAACAGAGTTGGGTAATTTTCCATGGGATTATCCACCAAGGAAATCAAATTCTAGTTAAACCTAAAGTAGCCTCACCTCAGGAAGAATACAAGATGGAGAAACCTTTACAATAGCTTGCCCTGTCACAAAGGTGCCAAGATTGGGTAATGGCCATGAAAGGGAAAAACTGGGGAAATGTAAAACAATATCCTTTTTATGTTTATGGAGAAAGAGGTGTGTGTGTGTGTGTGTGTGTGTGTGTGTGTGTGTGTTTGTGGGTATTTCCCTAATATGGTATTTATCTTCATAATTCTTTCTGAATGCTGTTTGTATTATTCTGCACACACACACACACACACACACACACACACACACACACACACAAACACCTCATATGCATCCAATTTATTACTCTATGTATACATGTACAAACAACATTCAGAAGGGATTATGAAGAAGTTAAATACCATAATAAGGTGAGTGGTTAACGTTTGTGGAACAAAAGGTAGAATTCATCTTGGGACATGCACAGTGAAATTCAATTATTTTTATAAGTGAGTTGTTAGACTGGATAATGATCACATGGATATAATATTCTACATACATTCTTACAGGTTCAGAACTTTTTCTGAAATAAAGAGGAAATTTAAAAGAAAAAATCTGCTTTAAAAGCATGCTTAAGGAAAATGAGTGAAATAACTGAACAGAGTAAAGGATTAGAAATGATAAGGGTCATGTATTTTAAGTAGGAATCTGGTTTCTACATTTAGTTAAGGCTACCTAGATTGCTGCCTATTAGTTTCAATAGCATTTTGCATGGTATATAGCAGCACATTTCATATCCTCATTTATATTGATTTTTTAATACATGATCAATTCTTCACCCCATAGAAAGTGAAATTCTAAAAGGTTCAGATGAAATGTGTTTTCGTATCATCTAAGCCAGATATACTGTATTCTTTTCTTAGGTGGTGCTTGAAATGCTTGCTAATGGTCTGGCTTTTGTGGAGATGTCCCTTTTTTAAGATGTCCCTTCTTTAGCATTCTTTGGTATCTGTAGACACAGGTGTACCTTTTAGAATCTCCGACACCTTTCTACTTTTTGTTTAAACTGAAACCTATCTTTTAGTAACCAGAAAATGTAAAATCTAGGCAGTATCAGTAAGGGGGCAGAAAATCCATTCACCAAAGTGACCAATCCATGAGTGGAAAGAAGGTTTTTATTATAGATATAAGAGAGAGAAAATAGCCAGAGTACTTTGGGGGAGTACAAAGCAGCCATGGCTCCCTCTATGTAGCAGAGAGGATAGGATGGAGGGAGGAGACTGGTGAGGGGAGAGAGAAAAGCAGGAGCAGGAAAAACATCCCTTGTTTACAAAGAAAGACTGATAGCTGCAGGGTGGGAGTAGTGAATCCTATGAAATGGAACAGCCTAGAAGTTCATGGGCTGGGAAGGGAGCCTGAAGCCCAGTGGCTTAGGCATTCACCATATGCAAGTGTCAATAAGGAAATGGCTCTTCCTGACAGACAGAATCCTTTTCACAGGTTCCAAAGGAGTTATGAAAGTGAGCAACAGCAGTCCTTCTATAGTGCAGCTTATGCTAAACCCAAACTGTCATCTTAGGGTTCCCTTTAGCCATGACTGTCTTCACTTCCTTTGTAATGTTGAGTTCATAACTGCACTTTCCACTGTGCTGCTATAATTTGAATCTGAAATATATAGCAAAGCCCTGTGTGTTTAAGGTTTAATCCTTAATCTGTGATGTTATTGGGAAATGATAAAATTTTTAAGAAGTGGAGCCTACTGGGATGTTTTGGTTGCTGGGTATGGGAATTATAGGACCTTGGTCTCTTTGCCTTGGTAGTGTGCTCTACTGTTTCCTTGATACCTTACTGATCACATACATCTAATCTCTTAAATAAGGGAGTATATTCTTGGAGGTTGCTATCTTAGCATTTGGACTGAGTCAATGAAGAGAATCCTGTGTGCCTCTTGAATACTGG